ATTAGTTTTCCATATAGCTAATGGGTAAGCCAAGTGACAATGGGGAGGCTGGGCTGGATAAGCACCCTGATTTCTTCTAGTCTCACGAGAACTGTGAGATAGTTTTTTGTTTGAAATACACATTTTTTTTTTTTTTTTGCTTAACCAAACTAACTATTTTTTTCTGTTCTTTTTTTAAAGCTAATCTAAAGGCATCTGAGAAATGCACCAGCACACCATACTGTTTCTTTACGACCTACATTTTTTGTGCAGCATTTTTTCCCTAGCATGGGTAGACATTCGTCTTAAACTTGGTCTGAGATGCTGATGCTGTCATACGATACACCCTTGGTACTTGACCAAATGATGATCTATGAACTTTTCTTGCTTTGTTCTTTGGAGATCATGCCTGACTTTAGCTCAGTGATATTAAAGATGTGAAGGAAAGAGACTTCTCAAAAAATATGGTACCAGAGCCTGCTCTAAAGTTGAATATTTGCAAATCTCCAGTAAAAGTAAATCCATATGGCAGGTCTGGTCCCAGCTTGATTCCTGCATGATCGGTCCAAAATCTTTTATGAATTCGTCTAGGCATGGATGTACGCACACAATCTTGTATGTGTCCTTTGTGGTGGAAGTCAATTATGCTGGGTTTGGTTTTTGTTATTTTTTCCACTGAAAGAACCTGGAGTATCATTCTGAGTTTCAGGGTGGGGGCAGGTTTTATTTTCTTACCAGTAACCAAGCCACAAAAGGAAAAAACAAAACAACCTCCGACAATTTAAAAAAAAGTCTTGAAAAATAATATCAATAACAAATACTGACTTGTAAGAATTCAGTGTGTCTTTCAACTAATTCAAAGCCTAAATTCAACATGACACCCTATAGCCTTTTGAAAAAGCCTGACAGCTGCCCATTTCAGCCACACAGCTGAAGTGAAAGATGTCTCTGAGCTGGGTGTAACCAGTTGGGCCGTGGATTCCTTGGTTATTACAACCCTGAAATGATTAAAGGACGGCCTGTTGTGAAAAAGAGCTGCCAGAACATTCTTCAGTTATCTCCTCTCATTTCCTCTCCTCACCTTTCATTGTTAGGGTTCCAACTCCAAGTTCCTCCCTTCAAGTGAGAATGAGAATTTTAATGCAGAAGAAATAGCTTTGTTTCTGTTAGTGTCATAGTTTCTGAGCTGGGAACCTGATATGGTTCACATTATGTAATTATAAATTACCTCTGTGGGATTTGAAATAAAAGTTGGTGCTCAGGCTTCATAGTTAAAATCACTGAATGCTCCTGTTGGAAGCCTGCTCCTTTTCATTCTGTGGAGGAACATGGCCCGCCCTTGATTTCACAGGTATCTGTGGCACAGGAGGCCCGATATCTTAGAAGCCCCCACTCTGCCACTCAAGCGGCCCTTCCCTGTATTAATTTCCATTCTCTCATAATGTTTTGAGGTATCTGGGGTTATATTATAGTCAGAAGCATGCATATTAGTGCCTTGAGAGTTTTAGCTAAGATGTTGAAGGGATTTGTTGGATATTATGAGGGAGGGTAGACTTCAGGAATGGTTTGATTTGGTAGTTTAATTACAAGGTCTTTTTCCTACCTACTTAGCTTTCCATGGTTTCATCTGTTTGTGATTATAATATGGCTGTAAATAAACGTCTTCATCAGCGCCCGAGAACTAAGATGATCATTCTGGAAGCTTCCAGAAGACTCATCAAACTTCCCTTCACATCTAATTGGTTTCGACAGCTGATGGGTCCATTCTGAACGTTCAATTGTGGTCAGGGGATCAGGTTATACTCATTAACTTAGCCTGAGTCGTCTGTGCTGTTCTGAAATCACATTCATCTAAAGCATGTGGACGGCAGACTGAAAGCTGAGGTAGGTGCCAAGGAAAGGGAAATACTTGCAGAAGAGTGACTCAGTGCAAGCCTAACAATAGTTGCCAGCCTTGGAATTACCTTTAAATAAAGGGTGAGAAGTTACTACACAAATACAGACTGGTTTTATGGAACCCTAGGACAGAAAACTGCAGAGCACCAGGGAATAGGCCGGAATCGAGAACCAGGGGAACCATCAGGAACCACGAGCCTCACCTCTTCCCTCCCTTCCCTGTCTTCCCCTGCTCTCTCCACTGGTCAGTGGCCTCTGGTTTCTAATTGTTCACTCCCAAGAGAAACTTCTTGGTCAGGGTAGGTCGGTGTCTACCCTAAGGTGGACAGATGGGGTTGCTAGACGCCCCCCCTCCAATGTGGTGGTGTGGGGTGAGATGGGGCCTTAGAGAGGGGAGGCTAAGTCGAAGCGCTAGGAAGTGGCTGTCCTTCGGGGCGGCTCCCAGAACTGGGATGTGGTTGGTGGGGCTGCGTCCTCTGCCAGGGGCACCCCACAACCCCTGGAAGTCCGGAGATCTGGAGTGTAGGGGAGATGTTTGGAACCATAAGAAGCCAAAGGGCCGGCAAGGAGGCAATTCTTGCTTCTAGATAGCTCCAAAGGGAATTTGAGGAAATCCTCTATTGCAGCCATAAAACTGAAAGGAGATCTTTGCTGATTCACAAGCCAGTTTTTGTAGCATCTGGGACTGAGCAGTGGCTGTGTTAACGAGAGGCGTTCCCCGAGGGTCTCTTTCAAACAGGAATCTGAAGAATCTCAGTACCGGGGACCTTCACAGGAGCTGGGCCAGTCTCCTCTGCAAGATAGCACCTTCCCAGGGTTCTGGGGCTCTGTAAGCTTCCTGCAGGCTCACCTGTCCCCCCTACCCTCAGGACTGAGTCACCATGGGGGTGGCCAGGGCTGCGCCCCAAGAGCCAAGTCAGAGGTGACTCTCAGGGCTTTGAGATTGGCCTTCACAGCAAGGGAGGGTTGTGTGATGCTTGTCTTTGGGGGTCAGTCTCTCAGAGTTCTTTCTGGTCTTGCAACTTCCTCCTAAGATAGCCTAATAGACAGGCCGGAAATCTGTTCCCTGCAGGGGGGTGGGAGCAAGTTGACCGGCTGAGGGCTGTTAGTCCATCTTCTCTAATGCATTCTAGGGCCCATCAGTTTGAGAGATGAGATATCTCCTGAGGCTCTCATCCCCAATGACTTCAGCCATTCCCCAGGATTTTGAGAGACCTCAGATCAGTGGAAAGAATGCAGGGTTAAGGCCAGCAAAGGGTAAACAGAGGCAGGCAGCGTGTGTATAGGAGTAGGAGCTCAGGGGAGCCCAAACAGCAGTGACTGAACTCCGCGGTAGACCTCATTATAGAGGGAAGACTAAGACCCAGACAGCAGAGGGGGGAGGGAGAGCCAGGAGACTGGGAGAGGGGAGAGAGGAAGGAGAAAAGTCAGGACTGTGGTTGTGCCTGCCCTGAGGGATGCTCAGAATCTATAGTCACAGGTGTGTGGTAACTTTTCCATAGTGCTGTAGAGTTTTCTTTTTTTCTTTTTTTTCACATTCACAATGTCACCTCATTCCTGTAGCCACACCCGGAGGCAGGTGACGTCCCCATTCCGTGGATGCTCAACAGGGTGAATATTCTGTTTCAGGCCTCCAGGTGAGTTCATCAGTGTTCTGCTGCTGTGATAAAATAACTGTCTTACAAAATGGAAAAGTTTGCTTCAGCTCACGGTGTCCATTCCAGTTTACCATTGCTTGGCCATTTGGCTCTGGGTCAGTCTGGCATGGTACAGAATGGTGGAAGGGTGTGGAGGGGAAGAGGAAGAGGAAGAGGAAGAGGAGTGTGGCCTCAGGGACACACCCCGGGACCTAACTTCCTTCTGAAGATTTCACCACCTCTCATTAACCCCACAGGCTGGGGATGGTGACCCACAGCCCTTTGGGGAACCTTCAAGGTCCAAATTCTAGAGTCTGTCTGGTGAGTTTTTCAGCTGGCATACAGATTCAGGTCTTCTATTGCCTTTTGGTATTTTAATACTTTATCACCAAAAAAAGCATGCCAGTGCTTATCATCTGACTGTTTTCAAAGTGACCCACTAATAACACTGAGAACAAACTAGTTGTTTCTGTTACAGAGATAAAAGACCCATGCTAAATTAACATAACACTTTACATGTACTAAGGTGTTAGTAGGTGTCACGCTCTGCGCTAAGCTGTGGGGACATGCTGTCCCTTTTGGTTTCCATCACAGTTCCACAGTGCTCTGTTTAAAGGTGGGGGAATGAGGCTTCGGGAGGCCAGGGAATTTGTTCAAAGTGCACTGCATGGAGCATCACGGCCCAACTCTTACCAGGTGGTCAATTCTAGTCCTCTCTACCTGGCCCCACTCCCTGTGTGGTTGCTGAGCCTGGAATCCAGGGTCCCCTTAGTAGCATGACTGGCACTCTAAGAAGGTGGCTGGCACCTTCTTAGAAATACTTATGAGCCCCTACTAAGTGCTAGGCACCTTGCCAAGGGGTGAAGAGGAAAACTGCCCCAGAGATGCTACTATGCCCTGAGAGCACTTGGGGTCATGGGGAGGTGTGACAATGGTGATGTCTCAATGCCCAGGGCCACTTGTGTGATGACCACAGGAGGTATCATTGTGTGCATGTGAAGCAAAACTGTCACAGTCAGGGCAAGCTTAGCCTCAGGGCACCTTGCAGGGTGCAAGGCAAAGGGCTTTTCACTTTTAGGGTTCTGTACATATCTTCATGTCTTTCAAAACTTAATGAAAAAAACTAGTTCTTAGTAAAATATTTGCAGTAATATATAGTATTATTTGCCTTTAGAGTCATGCAGTTATGATGTATAATTTACATATGCAGGTCCCTGCCCCATATCAGCATCAGTAGATTCATCAACAAAGGATTGGAGATATTTAAGGAAAAAAAAGGCATTTGTCCTGGACATTTAAGACTTTCTTTCTTGTCATTTTTCCCTGCACAATAAATTACAGCATTCACACTGCATTGGGTATAAGTTGTCTAGAGATGATTTCATATATATAGGAGGATGCGTATCAGTGGGGTCTTAGTTACTTTTTACTGGTTGCTGAGACAAAATACCTGACACCAAAGTTGGGAAAGGAATGTTTTATTTCTTACAGATTTTGGAGGTTTCAGTCCATACTCAGTTGGCTCCAAGGCAGGGTGGCATGGCGGGGCCGCAGTTCATGGCAACTACAAACAGCGAGGCAAAAGAGCAAGCCACACCTTCTTCCTGCCATTACATCACATCCGGGATCCACCTCTAGGTGGGTGTAGCACTGACACCATCAATCCAAGCACTAGACAATGAACCAATCACAGATGCATAATGTAAACGCATGAGGCCTGGGGACCACCGACATAAACCATGACAGGTGGCAAACAGTGGGCCATTGTCTATAAGGGACTCGGGCATCTGCTGTGACAATCAAGGGACAATTTGCGACAAGCATTTTTTATGGAGGAAGGCACCAGGAAGGTAAGCATGCCTGTGTTCCACTGGAGACCTGACAATACACCCCCAGTTACAGCAATCTATGATCAGGCCAAGCAGTTGCCTAGGTCTTGGCCCTGAAGCTGTGTGTCCTGTGACCTGAGCACAGGTCTCAAGTCGGAGACTGGACCTGTGGCAGCCCAAAGACAGCGTGCAGGGGGAACAATTTTTAAAAGCAACAATTGTAACAATGATCTCCACTCCTATGCCAAGTGCCGGCCACTACACTAAGTGTCACAAGAACACCCTCAGTTTTGTGGATTATTTGTGATTTTTTTCACAGACACATTGGGCTCTTCTGCAGGAACTGGCTTCATGTGGCAGGGTTGGAAGCGGGGGTCTTGCCTACCTATTTCTTATTCTTGAAAACATTTCAGAGCTCTTCGAAAGCAGGTTTTCTTGTAGAAGATTTACAAACTTTACCCTGATGGCAGGACATCTTGTGAGCGTGAATTTGTCATGGCTCAAACTGGTAGGAGTTGCCGGGGGTCAGGGTGGGGGGACTTGAAGAAAAAAAGACAGTCAAGGTGGGGATAATTATCTGGATAATAAGACCTGCAGTGGGCTGATTCCTGAGTGATTTCACTTGGGAAGCACAGAGCTTCGAAGTCTGCCACAAGTATCCCAGGCTCTGTCTTTGGAAAATCTGGGGACTTTTTCACCCAAGACAAAACAGAAATGCCTTTAGGAGGACCAGTGCAGCGGACACTCTGGGAGCCTGCAGACACTCACCACCCTGGGCTCCTGGGATTTATCTGCAGACACTCACCACCCTGGGCTCCTGGGATTTATTTGCCTCCTGCCTTCGCCTGTTCCCACACCAGTTCCATTCAGAGATGCCCAAAGCTCTGCGGGTTGGTCGGCCCTTGGTGTTTTGGAAACACGTGGTCAGCCCCAGCCCGTGCTGACATGACTAATGGCAAAGGTTACTCAGATCCTTTTGGGTCCACTTTCTGTGGCTGGCCTTGAGCTCACTTTGTAGCCTAGACTGGTCTCTAACTTGCTATGGTCCTCCTGCCTCAGCCTCCGGAATGCTGGGATTATAGGCATGTGCCACCATGGCAGGCCCCAAGTATACTCTTAATGTGTGTTGCTAAGGACATTTGTGCAATAATTAATAATTTAGGCAATAATTCATTTTTGAGTCCCCTGGGATGTGTTGCAAGCTTATTTATTTATATACACTCAATCCTCAGTGCTTAAAATAGCTTTAATGTCTTTTTGATTTTCTCAGAGCAAGCCTAACATGTTGAACAGTGACTCCTGGTCCCTGCAGGTCTCTGGTCTACCCAGTTCTCCAGCCACAACCCTCTCCGCTCCAGCCTCTGGTCACCTTTGGGTGGCTCAGACTCCTTTCTATCAGAAAAGAGAGGCCATCCCATGCCTCTTCCTCCCTCTTCGCTCCCAAATAACTCTGCCCTGCCCTTAATGTCTGCTCAGATACCGCTGACTTAGAGACAGTGTTCTGGACTTGATAAAACTTAACTTTCTGCAATGCTCATCGCACTTTGTTTGAAAAATTTTAATTGACATGCAATAATTGTACGTATTTATGGGCTACAGTGCGGTAATTGTATACACGTATACAATATGTAAAGATTAAATTGGAATAATTAGCATTTCTTCGTAACAGCCAAGATATGGAATCAATCAAGGTGATGCCTAGTGGGTAAAGAAAATGTGTATGTATACACAATGGACTATTGTTCAGCCATATAGAAGAATGAACTCCTGTCCCCGTGACGCCAAACTGGGAATGGGAGGACATTATGTTAAACAGAGTAAGCCAGGCATAGACAAGTATGTTTCTATTCATGTTGGGAAGCTAACATGCTGTGAAACTTGTTTTGTGATTCTTTGATTTGCGTCTGTCTTTCCTACCCAATTTCCTGTTTCTAGGGCAAGGATATTTACGCTGCTTACTACTGTCTCCTGAGTGCTTAGCCAAGTCACCAAATTTGTTGAGTGAATGACAAAGCAATCAAATGACAAAAGAGAATGAAAGGGAAAGCACAGCAAAACACACCACTGCTGGTAGATGACAAAATCAACTATTCCTTCAATACACGAGTCATTTCTTTAGGCCGAACAGACTTATCACTATAATGCCTAAATCATTTATGTAACCCATTTATTATGATTTTTTTGTTTTTAGGGTTGTGTGTTTGTGTGTGTGGTTCCCCCTCCCCCCAGGGGGAGGAGGAGAATCCCATTACTAACCAAGCCTCACATACAAAATGATAGATGACTATTATGTATTTTTCCTTCTCTGTATTTTTCTTAATGGAAGCAAATGGAACTTTCCAAATATCACTGTATGATTGGAAAAAGTGAAGCAGTCTGTAGTGCCATTTTGGGGGAAGGAGGGGTAAGAAGGGGAAAAGATTCTGAAAAGGGTTTATGTTTTCTAATGGAAGTCAGATGTGGCCCTCGATTTATATTGCTCGAGTAATGTGCTCCGGTTTCTCCGTTAGTGGTCCTGTCCGGGAGGGATGTTCAGACGCCCCCTAAGATAAGCCTGTTCTTTTTCCTCCTGTATCTTTTACACCTTAGCATCTGCCCTGCTGGCTTTCAGCAGAGCCCAAACGCCACTCTGGGCAAAGCTAAGACAACTCTGAATAAGAATCTGCTGGAGAAAGATTTCCCTTACAAGCTAAATGTTACATTTCCACTCCACAGAAAGGTACTGCTGTGTGGCCATAAAAAGCCGGCCAAAACCCTGTAACCTTTCGCAGTTAGTCATGTTATTTTTGGTTCACGCCAACACGAGTCACAGCTGTGACTCAACAGAACCACTGAAGCAAGAATTCAGACTTGAAAGAACAGCAAACTCAGAAATGACTTTTTTTTTCTCCTCATAGTGTCATTACACAACATGTCTCGTAGTTTACCTTTTCAGATTTACCAACTTCTTACAGATGAGTTCAGTTGTTATTTGGCAAACTAAATCTTGGAGTTGCGTCAGCGCCCTACCCCAAATCCCACTGCAGGCCCAGGCCGGGAAGCTTTCCTTTCTGGGGTGTTTGTTTTACGTAAGTAGTGACTTACTTTTTAGAGGTAAAAAAGGAAAAAAAATTTGTGTTGATATATTTCTCCCTCAAATAAACCAAAAATAGGATTGAGGATTGATTTAAACATTCACAACTCCCCACGCCATGATGACAGAAAGGCCCGTATCTACTGGTTCTGTGTTTGTTTTCGCTTCCCCTCCATCTGTATTAATAACTCCAAGCCACGAACTTAAACCTCCCCAGATGGAAAACAGGCCTGGGTTTCAGCAGGCCCTCTATGAGCGTATTTATCAACATCCTCGAGCCCTTCCCCTTCATTTCATTTTTAATTTTTATTTTTTAGGAACTGAACCCAGGGCCTCAGACATGCAAAGCATAAGCTCTTCCACTGAGCTACATCTCCTGTCCTCCTCCATTGTATTGGTTGTTGCTTAAACTGGGAGATTCACCCAGTTCTCCTACTTGGGGAACATAGGAAAAGAGCATGAAGAAAAAACTGACGACACTTGTCCTTAATCTGCTAAGTACTATCTTTCTGGTAGTGCAGGAACTGAACCTGGCCCTAATGTGGTCTCACTTGAGCTATACTCTACATTCATCTCGACTGTTTTTTGAGATTTGTGGTTAATGTAAAATCCTAAGGACTAAAGTATAAGGTATTAATTTTTGTTGTCATTTACTCAGTGAAATCATCCATCAGAAGCTTCACAAGACAAAAGAAAAAGGCAGTACATCTGATCGGTTTCCTCTTTAGGAAAATAGATCCAGGTTTTAGGTCCTATCGTGGTCATTGCTCAGGCTTGCCTGTTGGAAAATGATGTCTACAACATATGCTTCACTGAGCCTAGACTTAGCCTTTCATTTGAAAACTTAAAGAGAAGTCTAAAATTAAAGATAAGTTTCAAATTTTAAATTCTAGAACTTTCTTCTGCATAGTTTAGGTCAAGAATGTTCCCTCAAAGACCCATGGGCTGACTGTTAGTCTGCACACTCTTGAGAAGTGGTAGCACCTTTACGAGGTGGGACCTTGTGGGAGGAAGTGAGGTCATTAGTGGCGTAGCCTCGCAGATGATCCTGGACCCTGGTCTCTTCCTCTTCTCTTTTTTGCTTCCTGGTCACTAAGAGCTGTAAGCAGGTTTCCTCCTCCACACCCTTGCACCATGATGCACTGTGCCACAGAGGACCAAAGAAACCGGACCAAGCCACCAAGAACTGAATCCTCTGAAACTATGATTGAAAACAAACCTTTCCACCTTTTGATTATCTCAGGAATTTTTTGTAGTGACTGTGGACACACCTTCCAATACCGAGGGTACTGGTCTAAAAGAAAATACCTTTCTATGTCTAGAACTTTCCGGGCTCTCTTTCAGCATTCCCATAAGGGCAAATGGAAGGTGCTGCACTGAATGAGTGTCTCACTGTGAATCTGTCCCAGAACTGGACTCCAGGCCCCAGTAGCAACTACAGCTCTTCACATTGGTAAATTTGTGCTTCCTTCTGCCTGGTCCTCTTGTTTTGAGCTGGTTCTTACTTAAAAAAAAAAAAAAAAAAAAAAACTAAAGTAGAATTTTTGAAATAGGAGAGATTGCAAAAACCATGTGGGTCTATTGCCTTATTTATACACCTAGAAGGCAGTGCAGGGAAAGGAAGGAACTTGCTTAAACTTACACAGCTAATTTGTGGCAAAATTGGGATTCACTTCTAGGTTTAATGTGTCCTTTAAACCACATTGTGACCTTCTTAGGGGAGCAATTTCATCCAAAGAACTGACTGCCCTGAAGAGTTCAGTTTCATAAGTCCTAAAACAAATTGTCCAGATCACAAAATATCATAAGAGAAAACACTTAGAGCACTGGGCAAACATCAAGAATATTGGTGTAAATGGAAATTGTGTCTATTTAAAGAAAAATAAGATCTTTCCTCTATCCTTAACATGCCTAACAATTTTTAGATTACCTTTTAAATTGCTAAAATTCAGTTTGGCAAGGCATTTAACTTTGAAAGACGTGTTCATAAACTAAAGTCTTATTTACCGATTTTTAAATAAACAAATGAACGCTGAAATGTTATCTGTAGAAATGATTCATTTGTTCCTGGCGTGCATTAAGAGCTCAATAAGTATTTGTTGAATGATTGAATAAAGATTATAGGGCCACAGAAATCAGCATTTGATTACAGACATATTAATAGGGTTACAAAACATGGTACTGAGGAAAACAGCAAGACGCAAATTGGCGTTCGGTATGATTCCTTTTATATAAGTACAAAACTAAGAAAAATCAATTTAGAGTCTTAGAAGTTAGGGTAGTAGCCATTCTTGGGTGAGTTGCTAGAAGTTGCTGGAATTTTCTGGAAGGGGGCCCGAGAAGCACTCTGCATTGTTTTTTTATCTTGGAGCTAGTTATATATATGTGTTCAGTGGGTGACGATTCCTTGAACTGTGAATGTATATTACAGTTTAATCAAAAGTTTTAGAAATATATATAGCACTTTATAATAGGAATAGAACATGTTAATAAATATTTAGCTCTTGGAAAAAAATTCCTATAGCATAAATTTTTTAAAAAAGGAGGTTGGGGTGGAGTTTTTACTTTCCATTGTGCTATAAAGTCTGCTACACTCACACTGGCGTGGAATAAATAGAACTTCGACTTTGGCTTCACAATTTTTGCAGCTGCCTCCATAGACTTTTGACAGTTTTATCACATATTTGACAGTTATAAAGTATGTTTTAGACATCAGGATGATACATGGAGAATTTGGAGAGTTTAAATCCATACCCAAGGTTTTGTAAGCTGAAAATCGTTCAGGAAAAAAAGAGAGAGAGAAAAAAAAAACACCTCATAAGGATGGTCAGTTCAATTACTTCACCATGTTTCTGGAAGCATTTTTAACGTAGCTCACTCGGCATATAATGTTGAAAGATAATCTTTCTAAATTAGCAAATTAGTTTTGGAAAGTCACATCTAAATAAGTTTTTTAGAAGGGGTGTACGATCAGGGACAGAAAATAGTTTCAAATAGGTGATTCCCATTACATAAGACTAAACTTCAGAGTCTGGCTTTTGAGCCCCTGCATGCTCGGGTTGAGGCAGGAGTAGTTTGCTAGGTGTTTAGGGCTAGAGGGCAGAGATGTGTTGGAAAAGGTGTGGATGACTTCCTCACCTGGGACTTGCTTGGATTTTCAGTGGTTGAGCTAAAAAATAAAGCTCACTCTTCTAGAGTCTTTAAATTACTTTCCTATCTAAACTCTTCCCAAGAGAGGCTAGTGTGTATTTATGAAGCTTTTAGGATTTAGGAAGTCTACTCTTTCAAAAGACTCCTTCGGGAAACAGGCCCCATCACCTTCCCCAGCTAGACTGAACTTTGGAGCTAGGTATCTTCTTGGTCTAGCCATAGCAAAGGAATCCTTCCGTTTACCGGATTTGTTCATTCATCATTCGATGGCTCTGTTTCTTGCATTTATCAACTAAAGTTAAAATGTAGGCAAATTTATATTCCAACAAGATAGTCTCCATAAAGCAATCCAATCGTTGCATCTGAAAAATACTCCTTTTAAAAACAGACACTTAGGAGAAGTAAAAAGGATTAAGACTCAACGTGTTCAGGAACCAGTTCCCCAAGATGAAGGTATTCATTATGGATCACAAACATGTACTAATAAAAAAATAAATGTGAACTTTCATTAAATAAAATAGATGCCTGCCATGATACCCCTCAATGCAATGTGCAGTGCGTATTTCAAAGAGAATTGAAAAAATAGTTGCGAACTAAATCCAGGTGGCTGCTACGTATTTTTGCAGTATTTAAACAATGAATTGGCCTATTTCTTTTTAAAGAGAATTAATGATTAAACAGCCTCCCAAGGACTGAAGTTAGCCCCAGCATCCCGCTGATAGCTGTGTTTATATTGTACTTCGCAGCGTATAAAGAATGGTTTGTATTTTTTCCTCATTCAGCTCTCACAACAATTCTCTTAGTGCTAGTTAGTTCCCATTGTTATTTTTATTTTGCAAGTCAGAAAACTCCAGCTTGGAGGGCAGAACCAGAAACATCTCCCTGTGTCCTGAAGTCAGGAGAATCTTTTGCACATCACACAGTCTTCTGATCAAGAAGGATAAGAATGTTTTTCTAACATTTTTTTTCTGAAAAAAAAAAAAAAAGAGAAAAGCTTACAAAAGTTACATTGGAATATAATCGATATACTGAGAGTATTATTTTCAAACCAGACAGCCTTTTGCAACATAGCAATTCATTTTAGTCAAAGAATTAATTTAATTTTAAAATAATAATTTTTTCTTTTTTTATTTTAAAGGGGGTAAAATTAAACACAACATAACAGAACAAAATAGGACATAAGAAAGCAATGTAAGAGATTCAAATCGCAAAGCTAGACGACCTAAGATCTTCACTGTCTATCATATTGTCTCTTGTTTTCTTCCAAATAGTTGTCCATGTCTTCGCATACAGAGAATTCATACAAAACAACACAGTATAGAACTGATCTGAACAGAATGAGGGAGGTGATTTAGGTCTTCAAAACCAGACAATAGGGAAGTCACTAATGGCTGTTGTAGAGTCTCTCATTCTCTTCAAAATAGCTGTCCATACTTTCATGTATATTGAAGTCCAACAAGACAAAACAGGAAGGGGAGACAGGTTGCTTGGTTTCCAGATGCTCCAGGTCCCAGCATGGCGTGGGTCCCAGTAAACCCCTGTGGCTCCCGTCCTGGGCCACCGCAGCCTGCCAGGCTCACCGATGCTCACCAGGGGTGGAGAGGGGTGGCTTCAAGCTGTTTCTTTCTAAGGAATTGACCATTTCACTGCCCAAGTTCTGAAATGGCCAACAGACCATAGAAAAACATCTCTCTAGGCTCCTGTTTGAACAGGAGCGTCAGGAAGCTGCCAGCCTTGGTTCAGGGCCAGTAAAATAATAATTTAAAAAGCATTTTTTTATTTCTTTGCAGTGCTGGGGGTGGAACTCAGGGCTTTGTGCATGGCAGCCGCACCTTCAGCCTCAGCTTGTTGTATTCAACAGATACTTGTTGAGTAATTCCCAAATGATGCTGGGCTCTGGGTGGTGGGGAGATACACATGGCCCCTGCCTTCTTAAAGGCTGTGGAGTTGTCAGTGAGAAATGCGCTCAACAATCATGCACAGATGAATAAATCCAGGCACCCCTTAGCATTCACAGGGATCTGGTTCTAGCATCCCTCTTGGACACCCAAATCCCTGGATTCTCAAGTCCCTGATATAAGTTGGCATAGTACCTGATAGAATCTACCCGGGTCCTCCTCTGCCCTTCCAGTCACTACTTGCTTCCTTGTACTTGATACATTGTCAATGTTATACAAAGGGTTGTTACACTGTGTTGTTTAGGGAATGATGGCAAGAAAAACAAATCCTGAACATGTCAGCACAGGTGCAGTTTTGTTTCCTCTGGAGAGTTAGGATCTGTAGTTGTTTGAATCTACAGTTGCAGAACCTGTCCATGCCGGACCTTTTAGTACTGAAGCAGGGTTGATGGGAGTGATACATTCAGACAGGGGATGGGAAGACATTCCACACAAGGGAACAGAGTCCTTGAGGCAGAGATTGGGACCTGTGGGAGCTGGAAGGAGCCCAGGCATGACAGGAACCTGGTGAAAGACCAAGCGGGGTGATACGGTTTTGAGCCTGTAGGGGTCGACGGAGTCCTCAGAGAGCACCGTAAGATTTTGAGCCAGACACAGGAGAAAGGAGAATAGATTGGAGGGAGAGAGGTGAGGGATTGAAGAAAGGGTAAGATGAAGCTAGAAGAGCAGGCTTTCATAGGAGGCAGAAGAGAGCATTGTAAGAGCAAGGCGTGCTCATTGCCATAAAAAATTTCCAACACAGCTCTTGGGCTTGGCAACGCAGAGGCCAGTGGTGCCTGTGCATGGCGAGGGTGCAAGCTGGATGGGGTGGGCTGAGGTGCAGGCAGCAGAAGCAGACCACACTGCATAGGATCCTGGTCCTCAAGGGTGGGGATTGGCGGAGAGGCAGCCGGAGGGACTGTACTTGGGTCTACATGTTTACGTAGCTACTGAAACCTCATCCCCTGCGGTGACAGCGTTAAGAGATGGGGGCCTTTTGGGAGGTACTTAGGTCATGTGGGAAAGAGCCATCAGGAACGGGCCGAGGGAGCCTGTTCATCCTTTCCAGCAAGGGAGGACACAGAGAACATGCCCGCTGGTGAACCACGATGCCCTACCTGATGCCAAGCTGGTGCCTGGAGCTTGGTCCTTCCAACTTCCAGAGCAGTGAAAACTTTATGGTGCTGTTTCTAAGCCACCTGGTCTATGGGGTTTTGAGATAGTGTCCCAAGCAGACTAACGCAGGGTGTGACCATCCAGGGGGTGAAAGGGAAGATGTTGGCAGTGGAACACACTTGGTATCTGGACACGAGGACGCAATCATCTGTCACCAAGGGAGACGGTGATGGTGGTGGTGGAGGTGATGCGTGTAGAGAGGATGAAACACACACACACACACACACACACACACTCTCTCTCTCTCTCTCTCTCTCTCTCTCTCTCTCTCTCTCTCTCTCTCTGTCTCTCTGCTGGTTACTCCAAGGAGTACAGGTCTGCGGAGTCACAGAGTACATGACCAGAGAGCAGATTCTGTATGATGGTTTTCCTGGATCAGGAGGACAGATATTTATTTTATTGCCAGGAGTTCAGAGAAAGAGAAGATAGGTTCATAGATGTGATTTGGGAGAGGAAGACATTTCTTTCCAATAGGCTGTTTTTCCGTGCTTTCCATCAGGAAGAAAGGTCAAAGTGAAGGGCGAGAAGGCAGCGGGTTTGAGTAGACAGAAGACACACGATTGCCCTTGTGTGGAGAGAGGGGAAGACCACATGAGGCAGTGTCTTTTCTTTTGGATACCGGTGTGTAGCTGAGGTCCTTTTCTCCTGCAGGGATCAGCTGCATTGTGTTTGGGGTTCCTCTGGGTTTGGCCGAGCTCTGGAAGAGCTGTTCATTGGCTCAGGTGATCAACGCTTCTGGTGAGATACTCATGGATCCTTCCAGAATACCAGATGTGAGTGAGACCCCACCAGAGGATCCCACTAAACCCACAGGGCTTCAGTGCTACCACCAGCACATTTCTGTCTTTGTGGTTCTTTTCTTGGGGCCAAAGGCAGAGATTTAAGCAAAGAAGGGGGTGTAGATGTTGGCACTTCAGTTTTTGGCTGCTGAATTCCACCCAATTCCTTAGGAAGTAGTAAAGTCTAGGAAGACCCGGGGTTAGTGTAGGATTGCATGGTGGAGGAGGTGGTGGTGGGCAGAACTGAGCAAGCTCTCTAAGTCTCTGGTTGCTTCTGGGGGAATGTAGAGCAGCTAGTCCCGCCTCCTGCCTGGGCCCTGCCCCCTAACTGAACATCTGTCTTTTCTGCACTTTTCTCTTTTCTTCCTTTGGCTCCTTCTCTACCTGTCTCTCCTCACTCCGCGGCCACCTTTTGCACCAGCTCTCAGCCTTCCAGATTTGCCCATATTTAGGGTCATCAGGAGGTAAGAAAGGGGCTGCAGAACCTTCCCCACACCCAAACAGGGCAGAGAAGGGAGATCATGGAGTCAGGGGGTGACTAGCCTGGTGCACAGGGGTGCATGGCTTGCCCTCCTGTTGCCTGGGGAGTGAGCTGGTTCCTGCTAGCTGATGTGTGTGCATGGAGCCCCTGGCTTGTGGAAGAGGAAAGGAAGGAAGCCTGGCGTGTCTTGCCTTCACCTCGGTCTCCCCTGGCTGGAAACCCGCCAGGCTGTGAAAGTGAGACTGGGGGACGGATCCCGGGGAAGACGGTGCCACTTGTCCCCGGGAGCTCAGGAGCTTGCAAGCGAACAAACAGGAGCTTCCTCTCCCAGAGTTTCCAAGGTTCAAGTGTTACCGGGATCACCTTGCCAGGAGGATGAGCACGGCCGTGGTGCACAGTGCTTGGCCCAAAGCGGATGGATGCTGAGGGCTGCGCTGCAGGCCTTCAGGGCAGGCAGAAAGGGTGACCTCAGAGCTCCAGAGGTTGGGCGGGGAGCAGGAAGGTGGGTGAGCAGGGCACATACGGTTTGTAGGCCTGGCCCACCTTGGACAGGGCCACAGGTAACTGAAATAGCAGAAAACAAAACTGATAAAGGGGACTGCTTCACCTCAGCATGGCCATGGAACCTGAAATTAGGGCATTCAGCCACCTTTCCTCTGGCCTGCGGAATCCTCTGTGTTTACTTGATGATTCTTTATGGACACCTCAGAGGGACCTCAAGCCAAATGCCTGTGATGGCATTTCTATGTCCTAACCTCTCTCCCTAACTCACTTTCCCCTAGAACCCCACCCCCCACTCCCACCCATCAGTGGAGCCTCCAACTGCCTTGTTTGTTCAAGTTCTTAAATCTTCCTCTTCCTCAACCTCCCATTTTAGTCTATCGCCAAGCCCTGTAATTTTCCTGTCTCCTAAATATACCCCCTATCTGTCCACTTTCCACTCCTCCACCCTGCTGTCAGCTGGCTCTCCACGGTCATCCTCTGCTGGCCTTTCTGATTTCAGGCTCTGCCGAGCAGCTGATTAATAACCTACAGCATGATTTAGACCACATTCCTCTCGGTGAAAACTTCTGGGTGTCGTTTCTTTTTCTTTGAAGCTCTAAATGTCTAAGGTCATGTGTGGTAAGTCTCTCGCTTCTCTGTGCAGCCTCAGATCATTCCGTTCTGCCCCATGCTTGCTATGCATCGGCTTTGTTTGCTTTCAGCATTTTCTAAGCAGACCACGTTTGAAAGGGCAAGAATCCTGGGCCTTTGCTTATGAAAATCCTTCAGCTTAAAATTATTTCCCTCACAAGCAACCTCCTTGCCATGGCAGCTCATACATTTATCCAAACTTGTAATAGATTTATTCATTCAGTCTATTTATTGCCTATGTCATTAGAGTATATCCCCAGAAAGGCAGAAACCAAGCCTGCCCTGTTCAGAGTCGCACACCCTGCACCGAGCACTTAGGAAGGACGTAGTGCTTATCTGAGTCAGTGAACAATCTCACAGTCAGGCTTCACATCTCTACTGAAATCTGTCTCCTAGAAGCTTCTTAGCTCAGGCTCACCTTAAGGGTCCTTTTCTTACAGACGATTTGTAACCCTGAGTCGCCATGATGTGTTAAGGTGGTTTTGCATACCCATTTCTGTGATAGACCCTCTCTACCCATGGAGGACAAGGACCTTGTCTTTTCATCTAACCCCAAGCCTGCCTCGGAGCGCCCAGTGTGCACAGGTCCTGCCCGACACTTCTGCCTGAATGCGCTGAGGGTCCTTGCTCGCAGCCCTCTCCGGGCCTGCTTGGGAGAAGGAAGCTCTTTGCTCTTTTCCTGTCTCGGGCCCAGACCTGGTCCACTTAGGCCTCTGCCTCCCCCCACCAATCTGCAGCAACCTGAAGTTAAGTCAGCGCCTCCCCGGGATGTGCACCTTGCAGGGCCTGGGATCTGGCTGAGGGAAACACACAGTAGGAAGGAACATAGCAGATCTGCAAAGGAGGCGCCTGGAGTCACTCTTCTAAATCAGAAGGGAAAAAGCCCTGGGTAAAGGTGATTATGGCAAAACTTTTATCTGGAACATCTGAGTCCCTAAGCCTGACAAGGACACCATTTTATTCCCTCAGATAGGTGGCTTTTCCTTTAGTTAATACCCAGCAATGTGGAGAGTTTCCATTCTTTCCTTAGTAAAACGTGCCTGGGGGCAGCTGCCCCAGCCTGCTGGCATCTCTTGGAAGACTTTGCTTTACCAAGTGCTTCTGGGGAAGTCTGAACTCGAGACAGGTGTCTCTGTGCGTTGGAAGGAATCTGTTCCAGATGCCAGAAAACTCAGTTCTGGTGAGAGATGTGAAGGAAAATTACGAGAACAAGTGTCCTATTCATATGCTAGGAAAATAAAT